GGGGGGGGGGGGGGGGGGTAGGGAAAATGGCGACAATACGGAAGGCGCGGGAACTAAATAAATGGACACATTCCATTTATTGATTGTCGGTCAGAAAGATAGAGAAATGGAACAGTTGTTGAGAAGGAAACGACCATGTGCTCACGTTTGCATTGAATATGTGTTGAATATTTCTCTTCCTCTCAGTTTGCGTCAGGTTATTTTTGTCGATGTAAAATGTCGTTTTTCATAAGGAAAAAAGGTGGTCGTGAAGCCCCTAAGCGAAAGGTAATCATTTCACAAGTTTTTATTTTTCAAGTATAAAGAATAGAAAGTGAGGTTAATTGCTGGTGACATTGTTATTATTCATTATTTGACGTGAACAGTTGTTCTACCAAAATATAATTTTATTTATAAGGTTAATGAACACTTCGGAGCTCTTATTTAAGCCCCATTTGACTCTGAGTATTCGGAAACTCTGCAATAATTTCATTATTTGAGCCTTGAAGTTTCAATCGAATTTTTTTTAACTCTTAGGGCACATTTTTTCAATCTGAAAGATTAATTCACAAGTTTTAGTTTCTTAACTGTATTTCATCATAATATAATTTTTATTTACAAGGCTAATGGGCACATCAAAAGTCGTATCAATGAATCAGGCAGTAAAAAATCGAAAATTAGAGACGATGAGAGCATCGCCAGCAGTGATGAGGAATTTGCTGAGGAGAGCCAACGAGGAAAGGAAGAGGAACCATATGAGTCTGAGGAAGAGCAGGAGACTGCCCAGGAGAAGCGACTCAGATTGGCTAAAAAGTATTTAGCAGAAATTGAAGAGGAGGAGAGAGACAGGACGGAGTTTGAGGAAGGTGCTGTGTCTCGGAGATTGCAGGAAGAATATTTGGAGGAGAAAGGAAAACTCCGGAAAATTGTAGCTAGCACTTACACTGGTCATGGAGAATTTGTTGAGCTCAGGTGCAAGGATCATCGGGACTCCATCACCTGTTTGTGCATCTCTAGCAATGGGAAATATCTTTTCAGTGGGTCCAAGGATGGGAGCATTGTCAAGTGGTGTTTTTCATCGAAAAGTAAATTGGCTGCTGTTGGTGGAAAACGAAAGTCTAAAGAGGGAATGAAGTGTGTTCTTTGCATTGCTGTCAGCACTGATGGAAAGTTCCTTGTGAGTAACACAATTCACGTTTTTAAAAATTCATTCATTCATTCGGTTCGATAATATCCAATTTATTTACATTTTGAAGATGTCAGTCTGATTCTGCCAAATCCTTCGGAATCTTTTTTTTAATCTAAGAAAATCACCATCATTTGTAATGTGATTCATGGGATGAAATAATCATGAGAATGAACAACAAAATTGAAAAATGAAACAGTCTTATTAAAAAATTGTGTAATAGGTTGCTGGTGACTCTGGTTCTAAAGAAATTAGAGTCTTTAATGTGGAGGATCTCAAGCCTTTGAAAAATCTACAAGGCCACAGAGGTGCTGTCACAGGCTTAGTCTTTCGTAGAGATACACATACGTTGTACTCATCATCAGAAGATCGCAGTGTAAAGGTCTGGAACCTCGATGACATGACCTACGTTGAGTCCCTGTGAGTTGAAAATTATTGAACATTGATATCGATTCCATTTCCCATTAATGCACAAGCCAATTATTGTAATGTCCTCTCTGTAGCTTTGGGCATCAAAATCCAATTACATCCATAGATGCACTATCACGTGAGCGAGCTATAACTAGCGGTGGTTACGATGGGACAATTAGAATTTGGAAAATTGTGGAGGAGTCTCAATTAATATTCAACGGCCCTGGCAGCAGTATAGACATTGTAAAGCTCATTAATGAGGAGAATTTCTTGAGTGGTGGTGACGATGGGCAACTTTGTGTCTGGGGATCTCAGAAGAAGAAGCCCTTGTGCTCTGTTCCACTTGCTCATGGACAGGATGAGACGAATGGCCAGGCCATGTGGATCTCCAGTGTTGCTACTTTTCTCAATACAGATTTAGTTGCATCAGGTAGATTTTTTTTTCATTCATTATATCAATATCAATTAAATTAATGTCATGGAGAATCATCATTGACTTGTTTTGTATAAAATGTCATAGGTTCGAGGGATGGCATCGTCAGGCTTTGGAAATGCGGCGAATCTTTCAGATCTTTAACTCACCTCTTCGATATAAAAATTCCAGGCTTCATAAATACAATGGCATTCACTCCCGATGGCAAGAATTTAATTCTCGGAGTTGGTCAGGAGCACAGAATGGGCAGATGGTGGAAAATATCAGAGGCGAAGAACAGAGTAGTCATCGTTCCTCTCATTCAAACTAGGTTAAACAAATAGATTATGTGACGATGAATAAATTTTTATATAAATCTAATGCCCAATGCATTTGTTATTTTAAACCAAATAGGTGAAAATTGAATGAAAGATATATTGGTCCACAGTACAAGTATTTATTTATTCTGTACAAAAGTTGAGTTATAAAATATTATGTCCCACTTTTAGGTCTCGTTCTTAGTCTTGTATACCACACCGTTTCGATTTTTTTTTCTCTTGTATAACAATAATTATCGTCAGTGAAAACGCGTGTGCTTAATAATCGATAGTTTTTTTATCTTCAAATATTAATTTCCTTTCGTTTATCATGATTTTTTTCGATTCTTTTTGTAGGCCATTGTCAGTAAGCACGCGCGTTTATCGTTTTATTGGCGGCTTATAGAGGCTCGCACTGTATACATACTCTCTTAAACGACCTATTTTAATTACTATTTTTTAGCCACGTTCAACAATCAGTACAATCATGAGTATTTTATTTTTCTTTCATTTTTTTTCTTCGTGCTTTGTTGTCGTTAGGTAATTAAGACGATTAGTGTGCAGGCCCTCCGTGATTTTCGTTTTTCTCTTTCATTGAATTTCGTTTCTTTAATTTTCATCGTTTTCTAGCTGTGATTGTGCTTTCCAAGTATATACGCTAATTAAGGAAAAGAAAAATCGCGAACGAAATGCGTCTCTCTTTCATTCACGGAGTTGATTTGGTTTAAATAATTTTTTTTACTCACTAAGCAATTTGACAAATAACCTATTGACATTGCTGAATGACGTTGAACGTTACAAAACGGTTGTCACGTCGCCCCGATTAAATATTCCCCCTCCCCAACAAATGCAGAATAAAAAAACCCGAAAAAGGACGTATTTGCTTTGTCGTATAACAATTATAACAGGTCAATTAATTTTTACACATCAAAAATTCGTTGATATTGGGGTGATAATGAATTGTCAGTCGAATTTAAGCGTTTCTTTATGCGTCAATGCTTACTGGAAAAATAGTGAAATTTTCCCCTTTGAGCACGAATAATGATACAAAAACTCGTAATGAACATTTTCCGACGTGTATTTTAATTGCTAATTATTAGTTTTCTTTCTCATTAGTAGTATTCCAAAAATTCATGTTTGTTAATTTCTATGGCACTTTCAACTCTATAATTATGTACATATATCAATCGTATGTACATGTACATTGTATACGGACTAATATCATTTTTTTTTTCATTTTTTATTGTGATTTACCTTAGAAAATGACGTTTGTATTGACCATTAAAAAATTTATTTTCTCTAAATTCCCTTTCCAAACTGAGAAGAAAAACGAAGAGTTGTGGCGGATCTACAAAGCATCAGTAGTGAAGAGGAGAAGAAATAATACGTACACTTCGTGCCATAAAGTATCTCTTTGTACTAATAATATATTTCGAGTTTTCTTTCACTTACTTTCAGGCTCAACGACCATGAGCCAGTTTTCAAGTTGATTCAATTTTCGTCTGACGTATTGGCTTCCCACAATTTTTTTTAATAGATAGTGTTCGTTTTTGTTTCATTACTTTCTTTACTATTGAGATACGGTACTGCGTATTATACAGTATTAATATACGACAAATTCGAGAAGGCAATTTGTCTCAAATGAATCAATTTTTATTCGTTTTCTTATCCTCCCTTGTGATTTTCTATTCTGCTGTTGTGACGCGTCGATATATCAGTGCAGTATGTATTAAATTCAGTGTATTCCAGTGTAAGTACAAGACGTTGCTATTCTTTATAGTATCGGTTTTTTGTTTCTGTGAAGTTTCATGATTATTTTTCTGTTTTTTTTTTCGTTTTTCTTTAATTTACTATTGCGCTACGAATGGTCTACTGTTTATGAATTCTACTTTACTTTGTATGCATTGTATGAATAAACCTGTAAGCCGATATGCCGACGTCTTATTAGTATACTGTTATATCGGGGTAAATAGTATGAATGAACGGTAAATGAATAAAAGAGTGCAAAAAGTATTCGCAATTTTTTTTACCAAATATAGATTTCCCTCTTGAGTATCCGTTTAGGCTGGCTGGAATACGCACACCGGATCGATAACGGAAAAATTTCTAAAATCGTGTTGTGTTGAAAATTCGTTCGTTTAAAGTTTGACTAGAATCGTTAATTCACTCTATCAATTTCTGAGGCCAAATTAAACACCAGTCTCGTGACAAAATTTTTTTTCATTATCCACATTAATCTCGATAAATTATGTCCCTGTTACGTGTTATTATCATTGTGGATTTAAAAAAAATACAACCGATTATGATAATCACTTTGTGGTTTTCTCTTCATTGTGTTAAAAATCTTAGACATCAACGTACATCCACTTTTATATAAACCATTATTATAAACCTATTTAATACTTGCTATGAATCTTAATATACATCTTCCCCTCTTTGCTCGTCTCTTAGTCTCTTATTAATTACTGATTCGTTTTTTTTTTTTTTTATTTACAAAGACGTGTGTTTCAATAACTGCAGCTTTTCCCCTGTTTTTATGGAATTCAAATATTTTGAGTTTAGTATTTCCCCTGGTTAACGTGACTCTTTTCATTGCGTTGATAATGGATCTTCGTAAAATGGGAAAAAATGAAAAAGAAAAACGAGAAACAATAATTGAAAAATCATGAAAGGTTTGAGCGATGTATGGAAATCCAGGATGTCCTATAGTGAAATACGCTGTGGAATGGAGGATTGAATGGACAGGGTGAACACAAAATTGAAAATGAAAAAAAAGAGTGAATTCGCAGTGTTGTCATTTTGTCTATTTTCTATCTATACTTCGAGCCTAAATTACTGTTATACTGTATTGATCTAGTATTCTCGTGAATCAATAGTCATTCACTTCAATCATCTACGTCATCATTGCTGCTATCACGCGTTCAATAGTCATTCTGTTAATTTCTCGAATAATCTCAAATCTATCCGTTGTGAACACAATTTAGTCGGTTCTTAATAAAAAAAAAAATGATCATATCAATTGCCATATAATCTATCAGTTATTTGAGGCGTTGTCAGTCTTCAAGGAGCTAAGTGTATGGACACCAACGGATCGATAAGATTTACAAATAAATACAGGATTTTAAAATCATGCACAATCATACAAAGAAAATACAGGCGTTGACAAGTTGTGGACATGTTGAACGGACAGGCACACGTTGCCTCGATGTAGGCCGTGTAATACTTAGGCTTACAATACTGTAGTGGATAAACGCTACACACGCGTTCTTTATTTCATATTAAGGAGAAACATCAGTTCTGATGGGTGAACAGGTGAGTGGGGCGCAAGCAGCCAACGCTTCGAGCTATTGTGCGGGGGAGTCAAGATGACGGTATCGCGTGCGTTGGGTGATCCCCACAGACACTGTGGGGCTCTGTGTTAACCGTCGAGTTACTCAAAAAACTATAAAGTGAAATGTGATAACACGCTGTTTACTGGTACACAATGGATTAAGTCATGTGAATAGAAGCTTGGTCCGAATCACGGGGTGCATGAGTGGAGATTAGAGACATGAAACTATTGTTAACACTTGATTATCAATTTTGTGGTTCTTCTTTGTGAGCTTTGAGCATTATCGGATAATTGAATATGTGCATCTCATTCTGTTCATCCACAGATGACCGATGTTCCTCCATAAACCATAATTTTTTTTTACTCTTCGTCATTCTAACTTCATCCTATCTGTTCATTGTTCTGCGATTTGTATAATTGATTGAATTGATCATTTGAAAAAAATCAGGCGTAATGTACAAATAATTGAGTCAGCGAATAAAGCAGCAGCTCAGTGCGTGTCGAAGGTGTATCTTGGAAAATCAGGCTCGGGGATTTTCTTTCAACATAACATACAATATTTACAGTCATTTTTGTGTCTGTCATCAGGCGACATAAGTGTTTCGTCTCTCATCAGTTTCCGTATGGCAAACGGCAATTTTATTATTCTACTTGAAGTTGTGTATATTGTGTGTGAGGTATGGGCATTCTCATTAACAGAATATTATTTCACTGATTTTTACTGACATTGAAAAGAGGATTAGATTTACGTAATGATTCTACATTGTAATGACTACAATTATGGAAACAACTTTGAAGAGTGAAACAATTGAATATTGTGAATGCCTTCCTCTTGACTGCTAATATCAGAAAATAATAACTGTTATGGTTATAATTCGTAATAATGATGTGGGGAGCAGAAGTGAGAGAGACAAAAATCTCAATTATTTTGTTTTTCAATTTGATATTTACCTAGTAATAATATATTTATATGGAATATCGAATTGGACATTCTGTTTTCGTGATAATAATATAATAGATATCGATGATAATAAATATAATACAGGCCTATGGATAAAGTCGCAGTATAATACAATTATATTACAATTTGTTTCACTTTTTCGTTTGTCAATGGACTTGATTTCATTTAAATCTCGTTATTTTCATTTAATTTAGGCTTTTCCGAGTTGACTCACACCGACAATTCTATTCACTCTATTGCATGTGCATCAAAACGAATTTAAAATTCTAATGATGCGGCTAGTTGTTTCTCTTTCATTCATCTTCGTCAACTTGTGAGTCACGTCTCGCTTTTTTTTATAGTACATTTGTTTAGGCAACTATTTACACGAGTTACATAATTTCATTACGAGAAAGTAGAGTACGAAATACGTTCACTCACCGTAATTCAGTACAACACCTCAGTGTTATTTTTTTTAAAGGCCATTGAAACAAGAAATCAATCAAATTATTTTCGTAGAAATTATTCTCGCTCCCCCCCAAACCCTATTCTCACCCACCATACCTAATCCGACATTATTGTGTACATAATAATGTCGGGATAATTCGAAAAGATATTTACAAAGTATTCGTTAGAAACTAGTGGCGAGATCATTTCTAAATCGATTGTCTTCTCATTTCCATAGCCCATTGTACGAGTGAGTTGAGTATTTCATCAACATTTGAAATTCGGAATTGGTAAAATTGAAAAAGTTTTTCGACGTGAACACATGGATAGCCCGTATCAAGTAGCACACGTCGACGTATTTATTTTAGAATAAATATCTATTCGTTATTTCTTCATGATAAGGACAATCAATATAACTACCTCCTCATCCCTCGTACTTGTAATTCTCTCACTATGCAATAGTAGTGATAATAGTGGCCGTAACTACCAAGTGCCTAGACGTAATATTTCTTTTAATATTAATATGGCTTGATCGTGTTTACTTTTCTTTACCTCTACGGCCGCCGAATACATTATCATGTATTACTTTTTCTCCTCATAATTAATTCATTTAATAGTATTTAATTTGTCATTCTAGTCCATCAGAATTCATTGTGATGGCTGTATTGCTTTAAATGAATAATTAAACGTAGGATAATCACAGAAGAAGGGGGTTTTGTTTTTTTTTTTTCCATTTTCAATTGGTGAATTTTCACTGATAACAGCCGGTTCACCGCATTAAATGAGGCAGTAACATGCTGACCAGAAGTGTACTCGTTAATACGAGAACAAGTCTCAGGGTTTGATGCCGTAAGTGCGACGAGCTTGCACCGTTGTACGTTAATTCCTCGTTCTTGACAACTTCGTTCGGGTGATCCGAGTATTCCTCTGTAAAAAAAATGATACATCATTTTTTTTTACTCATCTCTCCCTCCGGATAATTGATGAAATTCGAGATGAGGGGGATGAGATGTTGAAATGATTTTCTGAAAATCTGTCTTTGTTGAAGGGGGAACAGGTGTCTCGGAGCATATAAAAGGCATTAATCGTCGGTTGTGAAGGTGCGAGATTAATCGCAATGAGGAAAGAGGAAAAAAAATAAACGATGAGGAGAAATGGCAGCGGTGGG